ATATATATAATATATATATATATATATACGTGCACGTGTTTGCAGCTTTGTGCAGGCCTCCTCCTGCCTGCATTGGCTGTAGTGCGTTCTGCCATCATTCCAACAGCTATTCGTTCGACAGTCCCGAGCTTGCCCCGCTTGTTTTTTTGTGTTTTATTCTTAATTGTCTCCGGAGGCAGAAAACCCCAAGAGAACTCCCTCACATGCTTTCAAGGCGCCGCACTGCTGCTGGTCAGCCCCCCCCCACCTTTAAAGTGCAGCAACCGCTTATTTGCTCCACGTTCCGAGTGTACAACAGTATATATACGTATATAAAACGTACACGGCCAATAGACTGATTATTACTGTGTTTATTGAGTTAAATCGTCTGATCTTTCTCTCTTATCATTTAACCCGTTCAGGCGTTAGGAGGACTTGTTTCGGCAATATCGGGGCAATACCTCTCAGCGGGAGATTTGGGAACAAAATAAGGAAAATAAACCCAGGTCGGACAGAGACGAAGTCGCCGGCAACACAACTCACCGGGAACACACCGGGACGAGAAAAAAAGCGGAACAGAGCACACCAGACCCAGCTATACAAAGACAGGTCGACGGAGTATACAAGATAATCAAAATTCGATGGATAAACCAGCAAAGTGAGAAGGCAGCAGATCACCTGTCCATCTAATCGCTGATGATGTGCTTAGTTCTCCCCCATCCCCCTTCCCACATTTCAGCCTGCTTGCAACCGTTTTTGATGGGTCTGGGTGAGGACCTCTAAAGTCGTCGGACGGGTTCTATGCAGGAAGTGGCAGCACTTCAGGACAGCAATTCTCACAACAGGGATTGACGACAAAAGGGTTTAAGGGATGTACACAGCTCACATGCGGAACTGTGTCCCGAGGTGGGACGTTTCGGGCGTCTCCCACAGGTGCATTTAATGGAGTGCAGACGGAAAGCAAACAAAAACTCAGTGTTTGGACGAAGGAATCAAAAGAAAGTAGAAGGTGAGGAAGTATAGAAGAAGCGATGGAAGGGTGGTGGGACGCGTTTAGCTGGAGTATAGATCGGAAACCCGAGTGTGCAGCTTCCCGTCGGGTTTCAGCTTGTGATGGAACTGCTCTGGAATTGCAATTTCTTCCCATTCACCTTCTTCGCCTTTAACGGGGACATTTAAATTCATCTCAGACGATTTGCTGGTCGTTATTTCCACTTCCCTGCTCTCATTCGACAAAAATAAATCCACTTTTTGGCTCTTGTCGATGGAGATAGACGGTACCGAACCCAACACCTGCAACTTTATCTTCTTGCAGTTCACGATTTCAACAGACGCAATCAGACTGTTCACACAAACACGAGTGTCTGTGCATGAATCCACAATCAATGAATTCATTTTCGTCTCCACCTGCAGTGCCAGACCCCGGCAGTCCCGAACCTGAAATACAACAGGCACACAGAAAATGTAAAGTATATACTACAACAAATTACACAGGCGTATGCATGTAGACAGACAAAAACTATTCAGTTTTTTTTCCTGTTCTCCAATACACCACACACATGTATGCATGCACTGATAATGAACGCGCCCCACGTGTCTGGACGGAACACACAGGACGAACATGCACATACACACATTCGCGCAAATGGTGTATAGTAGCCACTGATATGTCCTGCAGTGTTTAGATTTCCTTAATCGTGTGAACAATTGAATGGTTGTGAATGGGCACGCAAGCAGGAGACATGTGGCTCCCCGGCACCTAGCTGGGGTATTTGCTCGTTTTTCTTCTATCACCTGTACTTTTTGTTTCATCTGACCATCGGGAAGCTTCTGGATCTGCGACGGGTTTACAAACTTTTCCACCAACCACGTGTCCCGTTCGAGAACTATGCGGGCCTCCCCCACGTCTCCTATTTCACAAAATTCAGACAGAAGCAATAACTAAAAGGCACAAAATATGTATGCAGTGAAAAATATACGGAAAGAGATGCCTTAAAGCAGTAAACCAGAAAATATTGGCCCAGAGCACGCCGGGTAGCGAGCATGCCAGTGAATCAGTCAGACAGTACGCCACGGTGGCGGTGACGGAGTTAAAAGACTGAAGAAAGGACTAGAAAGAATAGTATATTATATATATTCACCGAGAAATTCGTCTGTTTACCTGCAACACCGCCACTCATTTCCACAAACTCTCGACAAGGAAGCGCCCACAGCAACTAAAAGGCCACACAATGCCTTGAAGAGAAAGCAGCTGACAGGGATCCACTGAGAGCTTCCGCTTATGTTTAAATCAGTTCGATTTCAAACAATTCAGTCTTCCCTCAACTCACCAAGGGATTGCGTGCCGCCAGTGGACAAACCAGCCAGCATAGGGGGCCCAGGCGCCTGGGACAGCTGCAACGGAGGGGGGATCCGCCGAGGCTTTTCCACGCACCTCAGCAGTCTAGGGAATCAATTCGTTTGAAGTTCATGAATATATTTCACTGCAGAAGTTGCACTGGTGAGAAACGCCGGCAATATTCCCTGTACAGTTGAAGTGATAAGGCACAGGAAACACTTGCATACGGACTGAAGCTGCTGTACTTGAGCTTTTCTAAGGCGTCTTGGAAAGAAGCATTATTTTCTCATATCTCGTATCGAATAACTGGGAAACATGAACAAGACACCAGGTTTCAATTGTTGTAACTGTACATAAGCGTCAATGCTACTGCTCCTCTTGGGCGGAGACTTGCTTTAAAATGCGTCCCGGACTAAAGAGCCACATTGGCGGGAACAATGACGCTGGAGTTCATTGGGAGACATCTACAGATAGCCAGCAACAATAAGCTTCTTTGACAGTCAAGGTTGAACCCTGCATTATTGCTGGGCCGTGACATTTACCAGTAAAAGTTGAAGCGCAGCCAACAATAGCGAAGTGGAATCTGATTGAGACTTGCTCGTGGGTCGGCAACGTTTGACCTTACAGCAACAAAAGCAACAACCCCAATTTAAACAGGAAGGAACAGTGCAGCTTCTTGATCTGGCAACACAACCTTTTTTCAGTGGATAAAACCCCAGCCACTTCCGCTCTAAATTCTCAGTTTGTTAATGTAAACAGTTATATGTAGTTCCTACCGAGGTTGCATTTTGAATACCCATTCGTTTACTTCGTCTGAAACAGACTTTTTACCTGAAGTCAGATTTTCTGGTGGTTAACAACCTAAAAGTTTTATTTTCCGGAAGATATGTTGACGCTTCCGATGCTCCCGTACTTCGGTTGAGCGTAGAGCACACTGTTGAATTTTTGTATTCGCTGACTGCATGTGGTTGAAGGTTCCGTGCTTGCCACAAGTGAGCTTCCGCTATTTCCATGTTCTGAGTACTTTTGGTTTCGTTGCCGCTTTCTTTTCTAAACACTAACTTCTATGCAAAAATGTGAGGTGCGCAGCATGTGGCTTTCTGAAAAGTGGCACTCTCTGAGGTGCGCAATAGAGAGAGACTAGTACCGCACTGAGGAGTGTGGTGAATGGCCTGAAAGCCAGACAATGCTGACTTCCCTTCAAAAAAACATATCTTAAGGATGAGGTGTTTAGGGCACTGCACTAATCGGGCCGAAGCGAGCGTTTCTGTGCATTGGTAACGGCGAATGCTTGTAAACAATGTGGTGTCGAGAAGGAGAGTACCCAAGAACACCCAATTAAGAGACAGGTAGGCAGGTGCAGTATGCGTTCCTGCCAGCGCCTCGTTATCGGGTTAAAGAAGCACACTCCGCGCCTCACAAATCCGAACGGCTCCGAAGCCTTCTCAGTCCAGTTGTTGTCATGCCCTTCCCGGTGTCCCACCGAGGCACAACCACCGTCCAGGGCTCCAACATCTTTTAGTCGTAACTCTTGAGGTCTTCTACGCGAACAGCGTAGTCAATACTTGGGAACCGAACAAGGGGGGAACCAGGTGTTGATTCGTCAATATCAGCATGGAATCCTGCTGCCGCCAAGACGGGCGTCAGGGCGACAAGCGGAAGTAGTGCTTCAATAGCGCTTTCCTTGCTGACTTTAGAGATCCACGAAGCCTCAGCAGACTCGCTGACGGACTGCAAAAGCTCCGAGTTCTTTGCAGCATCCTCTTCGGTTAGTTGCTGCTTCTCCCGATTGGCTGCTGGAGTTTTCGTCTCCGCAGGGATTGCATTGCTGGCAGTAGGCACTGCGTTTTCAGTTGCAGCTGCAACAATCTGCTCAGTCTTCACTTCAGCCTTGGTTGCTTGAGCGTCCGACTGGCTCGCCAGTACTTCCTGTCCAGGAGCTCCCGAGTCGGCTTGCTGTGTCTGTTCAGCAAGTTCTCTTACAATATCGGCTTTGGGGGTGAGGTCTGCAGCAGAGCCGCTTGTTGCGCTAGCGCTAACTTGGTCTCCGCTGGAAGGAGCATCAGATCCACTAGCACCGTCAACCGTTGCTGCAATGCTTGCCGGAGCAGTGGCTTCTGGCGCGCTCGTTCCAAAGAGCATGCCCGACAGCATTGACGCGGAAAGGATCTTGCTGTGGACAGGCTTCACATGGTTCGTCGTGAGCGTGGATAGAACAAAGGCGATAGGGACTAGAGCGAGTCTCATTTTCAGTCACTGGAGATAACAGGCCAACGAAATGCCAGAAGTTCAATGGGGATCGTAATGAAAATGAGCAAAAAGATCACCCACACTTCATTTGTAACAGGCTGCGCTGTCTTGACACCGCACCGTGTGAGATCCGCATCGTCCATTCTGTACCTCATTTTTTAAAAATGTTCGCTCAAGACGCTTTAAGCTTGTAGTTGCCGAATCATATCCAAACTAATTTTATTTGGATTCTATAGCTAGTATTTAAAATTCCAGGACGGTCGCACCAGCACGTCGATCTGCTGTCATTCTGTCAAAACGCGCTGCACTGTTTTAGTAATTCGCCCCTCACTTTCTTGTAGGTCTTTGCCTACCCTAAAAATCTGTGCTAGTCCTGTAGTTGGCTGCAATACTGAGTGAAGCGAATACGCAAGTGGTTATTCAAAACTCGCTACTTAGGCGAACACACGTGACAACACAGAGAATGAAATGCATCCCCTAAAGCGCCTAGTGTCTGGTTTTGGGCATGCGCCTAGTTGATATGAATATAATGTATCCTCCTACAAGTACTTTTAAGCAAGCGTTGCGGACGAATACGTTCGAGGAGTTCAATTCAAAAGCTGACCGTGGAGAACAGCGCGCCTCCCTAGCAAACCAGAGTTGGGCGGAAGCACTGCGTACGAGCTCTCCAAAAATACTGTGCGCGAGGAAACAAAAGATTTTCATTGGATCTTCAGGCACTCAATTTCAAACTGCAGGTCAGCATTCGGGGGAATACCCCATGCTGGAAAACCATTCTGGCCGTACCCCACTGCACACAAAGAGAGATAACCCACTTGACATTGATCAGTATGCACTCATAGCACTTTAGTGGCTCTATATATGGCATAATCCGTACCCCTAAAACTTATGTATAGAGCTTACTCTTTGCTGGGATATATATCATGCGCGTTTCCCCCAAATTCATGCCTAGTACGCCCTGGTCCCATCCAGCTATCACTTGTCCAAGGCCAGCCTGCCATGTGAAGGGCTGCGGATGGAGGCATCGAGAAAAACAATTGGTCAACACACAATGAATATTTGCATGCATGTCCCAACCAAAACCGCTGGAGCGTGCCAAAGTTTGCCCAGAGTAACTTGACTGGCGTGCGTGTAAAGACCCCAAAGAGTAACTATAAGATGCCAAGCTGGTATAAGACGCCATTACTACCTACCTGCTGCCCTGGATCTTTCGTTGACCAGAACTTCTTCGCGGTGCCGTCAGCATTCAACACAGAGCCGGTGGCGTGGACTGTAACGCGTTGCCCCTTTGCAACTGCAGACCCTGACCCAGGCTTGACAACGGACGTCTTGAGCTCAGTAAGTGGCGCCATGATACGCACCGACAACTGTGAGGAACCTGTCTGAGTGCTGGATGAGTTCGGAAAGACTGCCTGCGCGGGGCGTGCAAGCAATTCCCAAAAGCCAGTCTCTGGCGGTGAAGGAGACTGTGACCTGAGAAGGTACGTCAGCAAGCAAGCGGCTACGATAAAAGAAAGAACAAGCAGGCATAAAGTGCCGTAAACATTATTTCGACTTCCAACCTTGGAGGCTCTGAACTTTCCAGACGGCTCTGCCGAATCCGAAGAGGGGGGTGTGGCGCCGCCTCGTTCATCGGTTCTCAGGCGGGGATTCTGGTCGTACCATTTCCCATCCATTGTCTGTTATTTGCCTTTGTAGTCGAAAATCAGGTTTCTAGAAGCAAAGTATTCCTTCTATTCACGGACTACGCAGTCGACAGCATTTCCCGGCCAGCAGCCCCTCGCACGTAAGCCGTCATTTAAGATCGACATGGTGTGTGGTACTTATGCTTTAAACGCTCGTACTGCGTTTGCTGATGCATGTTCCTGAATATGTTGTATCCACACAATGCCGTGGGGCCTCTGATATCATTAAGAGGCAGTAGCGATAGTTTTGCTGCTGTGTGTCACTTTTCGCCCCCGATGAAGCAGGGCCGAAAGCTCAACGCATCTGCCAGCACTACAGCGTTTTAGCCTGAAAAAGTTTCCAGTTAGTAACAGTAGCCTTACCCTTCACAAGCTAATCGCCTATTCAATGGAGGGATGCGGGAGTTTCCACGACAGGGGTCCTCGCACCCCTTGTAGCTGCCTCGTGCTGCTATTCACTCGAGGCAAGAGTCTTACAGCACCTAAGCTCTCCTTGAGTCCAACCCTGTTATAAGTAGAGCCAAGGGGCCCAGTGGTCTTTCGGATAGGGGCCTGTATGAGCCTTATACGGGTACTGTTTGTGAAATAGACAGAAGTAAAGGTTCACCTTCCCTCACAGCATATTTGGCAACATCACACAGGCGATGCTACAACCATCTTGTTACAGAGAACAAGGAATGGTTCCATACTCTGCAAGCATACCCAATCCATCTATCTTCCATGCGCGAATACTGTAAATGTTCGTTGAACTCTCTCTTGGCCCTCTACAGGCTGCCTGCCCGCCAGTTAGAGATACTACCCCATCGATTCCGTCTATCGATCAAACCAGGAGCATGCTAAGGAGGTTGGTTCTCTTTTAGTTTTGGGCAGCTTGCTTGAAGTGGCGCACCGAGGCACCCTAGCGTAAAAACACAGCCGTTCTCCCGTCCGCTGTACAGACTAACGACCGAGACAATTGCTGAACACTTACTTCCTTCTACTAGTAGGTAGCAAAAACTGCAATAAGAATTTCTGGAGACCTGAAGCGCGACCATGATACCAAACAGCCTTTTATTTGCAGCTCAGCTGCCCTCGTGCCTCCAGAGGACCTAGGCACACCTGCCTAAGAGTGTGAAGCTGATGTGGAGGAAGCCACCCAACACTTCGTTGAATCTCACTGCAGACGGTGCAACGCTCTTCGGTGCAACTAATGCTTCAAGACAGACGCCAGGTGCAACCACAACCTAGCTTCATTTTACTGCATGCAGGAAAAGCATAACAATTCTTGAACGGGTACTGGATTCTCGCGCCTGTGTGAGCTCACTTGGTGGCTCTCCTTACCAGTTCATGCTGTTGGCACTAAAGTAGAAGTGTATCTTCAAGCCTACAGAACATGCTGCACCTGAGCAGCCAGTGTCCCCCAAGTAGCACACTTCGTGGACTTCCTAGTCGCCCACAAAAGTTTATGTGCAGGGCAGGGGAGGCTGCTGCCCCGTTCGTTGCTACAGCAGCAGATGGTGTTGCAACTACGTCATCGGTTTCTTTTGCTGCATATCGTCGTGCTCTATCTCTTGCTGCTGCACCGCTGGAAGCTGCATCCATTGGCTTTGCATTTCTTGATGCTGCAGCTTGGTGCTGCACGCTGCTGCATCCCCTCCTAACCCACCACCAACCAGTTCCTGCTGCTGAGTTTGCGGTTTCTCGTCTCTGCGGCTTGTAAGAGTTGTTTGGCCACCTCAGTTGCCGCTAAGATTGTTTCTGTCCCTTGAACGGGAGATGATTGTCCCGCTACAGCAATGTAGTTGTTGCTGCAGCGCCTCCGCTTTGCACTCCCTTAGACCCGGAAATAGCAGTAGCAGCAGAAGAAGATAAAAGACTTGCATGAGGCAAAGGGACAGTAGTAGTGGCACACGTTGGTGCCGTTGCAAAATGGAGCAAGGGAGAATCCATCATGGCAGGATGAATGCTGGATACATCTATCCATAAATCCCCTTTCACCTGCACTGTAGAGGGTTGTTAAACACGCCCTTAGCCCCCATTAGCCACTATGACGGCCAGCTTGGGTATATGCACTGATTTTTCAGACAGGCCATACCACAGGAATATCGTTGAGGTGAAATGCTGTCACAGAGTTTCGAATTTAGTTCCCCAAAAGGCATATGGCGTCCCTATACTGCACAGGCACTATGGCCACCGCAGCCAAAGAACTTCGCATTGGTGCGGAGTGGAGGTGGCTAGTGACCAGTTGCAATTCATTTTGCTACATAATCAGCTGCAAGCCAGACCTCGTGAACGTGTAGTCGAGGCACTTTTGCTGCAAGCACTGACACTGCAGACAATTTTTCGACACTTGCTTCTCTCTCAGTAGCAAACCTAACGTCGAATAGAAATGCTCCTTCCAACGTCACAAGTATCGTGGTTCAACGTGATATGAGGCTTCAGGTTGCTGGCAAGGGAAGGCGTTGCAATTCGTGTGCAGAGGCGGAAGAAGGGCGCTGGCGATTCCGTTAGCATTGCTGCAATTATTGTTTTAGTACTAGTATTTGTTGGTATACGGTCGTAGAAACGAAATGACCGTGGAAGGCGTGGCAGTACATGCAGCTAATAGAACGGGCGTCCGTGGCTATCCTATCTGCTCCGGCAGAGCTAAAGAGAGGGGTTCCTTGGGTGGGATGGGGAATGTTTCACTTCCGAAATGCATGAAAAGTTAGTAAGCGTATAAGGCCACCTCCAGAGTTCGTTTTATATATTCCAGCCCCACCGCTGACGATCGAGTTCTGTAGAGCCGCCGGCGGGCTCGATGGGTCGGCAGGAGACCCCTACGTGGTAGCTGAACGATCACTTCGTCTTCTTCCAAAATTATGGTCGCCTGCTCATCTATGTTAGCAACACTTCTCTTTGAACACTTGGGGAAGCAGCTGACGTTCAACAGCTGTGAGGCCCAACGCCAGCAGCCATCTGGCTAGAGATGCAATGAACTTTGTTCTGCTGTTGCCTCCATCGTCGTTGGCGCTGCAACTTGATTTACTTAACAATTTATTTACTGACATGACTGCATGTGTAGACTCAAACAACACCGTAAACACCCATATTGACTGCGAAGTGCAGAAGAGGCCGACTGACCACCACCGGCGTGACCGAGAGGGATAGGAAAAGCGGTAATAAAGAGTGACAAAGCTTTGGGGAGGAACTGACAAAGTGTTTCTTATGCTAAAAATTCCTCTTGAAGGCTTAGGAGGCTCCACGACTCACGTCTGGCCGGTCCCTCGATGCCTTTTCTGAGAACCTGATCGCAAACGGGGAGCCAACGGACACCTAACTGGTTCTCTGTATAGCAGGCACCCAAATAAGGGTGGCCACACAACACTTGTCGTTTGCCATAGCTCATAGACCAAAGGGAAGGACCTGGGGGCTTATAGGCTATTCTGTTGTTCCAAGCTTTGCAAGGTATCATCTCTCGGCAGATGCCCAGATTTCTGCTTACACAGTTATGCTGAAGGTTGTTTTGTGCGCGTGAGAACGAAAAGGATTTAGAGGAGTGACGACAGCTCTACATCTCCGACGTATTTTACCCCGGCAGTTTAATTGGTATCTGTGGAGGTACTTCGGCATTGCCGCCCTCCTCAAGATGGCGCTCCAGGTACGGTAGCGTAGATGCTATCTCTATTCATCACTTTTTACTTCATTTTTGTCGGTCATCAATCTGCCGACCAGTATTTTACGAACTCATTTGTCTCCGCATTGTGCCATTCCCAGTTTTCGAAATGTGTACTTTTTCCCTGGTAGTTGTGTTGATTGCATTGCTTCATAGCTCGCATTATTACACTCGTGGGCTCACCCTGCTGTCATTGCTTTTGAACTGCTTTTACCACTCAATTATTGGGACTGACCATTCGTTGATGCGTCTTCGCTGCTCACCCATTCAGGATTTGTACTGCCTCGCCTACGCCCCTCTCCAGGGCACATGCTTGATGGACCTGGAGGAAGATGACTACACGCCAGAGACCCTTCAGAAGGAAATAAAGTTTCTTCAGAAGTTCACAGCAACCAGTTTGGAAGTAAGCTACCCAGTTCTCATAATGTACCGTACGTCCCAAACCTGTGAGAACCACGGGGAAAACCATTGTATTCGCGTTTGTTGCTTTCAGTTGGGGCGTAGGTGGGTGGTTGCACGAACGTTGACCGACTCTACGTGAACGTGTCTTTGATTCCGTTTGATTTGTAGGTATTCAACAAGTTCTTTGAGAAGGAGGATCTTTCGAGCGCTGAGGGGACAGCTGCGCTCTATTGCATGACGTCCTTCTTCAACCGCTTGCAAGTCGTCTCATTGCGTGCCAGCACATTGGTGAGCTTGCTGTTGTTTTGGATTTGTTCCAGGCATGGCGTGAGTGCGTATTGCTTTGTTGCTGTGTGAATTTTTTAGCGATGGCGTGATGATGAATAGTACGCTTGTGCGCATTAACTGAGGTGCGCAGCTCAAAAGCACTGCTCTCTTTTCTCTAGCGGATAATTGTTTGTAACAGTCAGTTTACTTCTGGCTGCTCCGGGCGTTTGTGGGGCCGCAGGCTGGAGAGCTCATGGCACTAAATAAGGTCGACTACCATGAAACCCTGAAGAACCTTACTTCGAAGGCAAAGGCGGAGGGACTTCAACCCGAGGACAGTCGTCTTGAGGATATCGTTGAAACAGGTGCACACCCCATTTGACACCCGTCTTTGCTAGGATGCATATTTTCAGTGCATAAACTAGTTTTTCACAATCACACCTTTAGCTGAGTGACTCTTCTCGATACCAACTGGATTTGTACGAGGTTGGCGCCTTGAGACTCGGGACGTTCTTGCATTGTAATGAAATGTTCATCGTGTGATGCTGCAGATAAGGAGGCAGAGTGGGATTTCCCTGCTGGCGGAAAGGGCAAGGTGGAGTTCCGGCACTCCGTATCGATGGTGGCACCCAGGGTAGGGGAGCATTGATGCATGCGCTTTAGGGTGGATCTGCATTGCATCGTTTACTTGAGCTCATTATGACGTGATAGGATGTTGCTAGACCTGGTCGCGGCAGTCAACTAGACAGATGATATCCTGCCTGGCTGCTGCAAGTTAGAAGAACTAAGCATTACACGCAGAAAGCCGCATATATGTAGCTGTTAATTCATGTTATAATGTGCAGGACTACGAGAAAGATGAGGCAGCTGAAGTATCTCACCAGCCAGTCAAACCCGAGTTCACTAGGAAGAAGGTGCGGAAGGCAACCGGGTACGCCAAGTTCAACTTCACAGGTACGTACACTGTAAAGTACAGAGTAGAAGGCAGCATAGGTTATATTCATGCTACCGATACCATAGTTGATGACCACATTTTAGTGTGCAGCAGCAGACGTCAACGCTAGCTCTTCTTGTATCTTGTGGGCTGGTGTTCGAGTGTGCGTCTCTATCAAGCTCAATCTAGTGTGGGTGCATTTGTTCACGCATCGTTTGCCAGCTGATGATCTTCAAGAGTCGGCGAACAAGTCTGACGATGAAACGGAGGAAACGAACGTAGGAAGCCAAAGCTCCACCTCAAAGACGGTCCGCTTGCTTGCAGTTGCTGGCTATATTTCGCTATATTTTGCCTGTGGCTCGTTGAACATGCCGGTTGCTCCCATGAAGTGAATTGGCTAAACGAGCACTGCTCTCTGAGCAGTTTGATGCTGCAATCGTAATTCTAGTCACGATTGACCTTTATTACTACGCAGCTCCATTCAGTAGTCCCAGTGATATCAGATATACGGGTGTACAGGTCTCTGCGAAGTTGTTTCTGCTGTCTTATCCGGCTGCTGCAGCCAAGCTCCGTTGCAAGCGAATCCCGGCCTCCATCAGCGAAGAAAATGGACGATGGTTCTTTCTCCTACCTATGCTGTTTCTGCCCGTGCGTGTTAACCATTCAACCCAATACACCAATATGTATCTTGACGATGTGGCTGGCAGTTTGGCGCAGTTACGGGTGTCTTTCTCAATTGATGGTTATGCTTTCAGCACACATGGCTAAGATGTGAGGGTTTGGTGTTTGGTAACGCTGCAGAAGTGGAAATTCAGGTACTGGCGAGAACGAGGTGGTCAGGCGTGGCTCTTCAGTGTCGCTGGGGACTGTGCAGGAAATCCAGGTATGAGCTCTACTTGCGCAATCTTTAAATGCACGCATGTTACCACAAGGGGTATGGCGAGAGTATCGTGCTGCATAGAGGCTGTGAATGCAATTTGCTTTTTGTGGTGCACAGGATAAGGACGCCGACGCAAACTGGCACGACTCTGAGCGCCATACAGGCCGTTACGCTCGTATCCGTGGCCGCATGTGCGTTCTTCAGCTTTTTGCAGAATTATGCTTCCTGTGTTTCATCATGTATTGATGCGGACTACTTTTGTTCCTTCAGTGGCCCGTCTCGCGTGCAGCGTAGCGAGGTTGGCGCAGCGGGGCTTGTTTGTATGTCACTGCAGTTGGTGCTGTTACGTTGTTTTGTGTGCAGTCCAACCGGCCACGCGTCCCTCATGAAGTCGAGCAGTGACGATATGCTGGACGTGTTACTCGCTGAGGACTCCGAAGAAGGCCGTCGAGCGCGCGAGTTACTGCTGCACAACACCGAGCTGAACTCTTCCTCTCCTCCTGTTTCTGGCCGCTCGCTTAGTTCTGAATCATTTGAGACCCCTAGTTTGCCCGATGATGCACCGAAGGGCCCGTTTCACACAGGAGATTCACATTCCCGGGCGAACCATACGGCCGGTGAAAGAGGCACAGAGACCAGTGGTGCCCAATCAAGAAGTGCGTTATCTATTCTCGAATGCCACCTCAGCCCCAGTAGCTGACTCTAAGGAAGCGAAGGCTCCCTGCCCGTACGGCACACAACAGCACAACAACATAGTACTAGCAGTTTACAGACAAGAAGGACGGAAGACGGACAGTTGAGGAGATGAATGGAAGTTTGCAGCCGGGCAGCTGAGGAAGGGGCTTTTGTGCAGACGGTTGCTGCTGCACACCAGTTGTTTACTAGCTGCCAAACTGTCATCGTTCCGTTGAGGCCGCATGAATTGCAGTGCATAGTTCTTTCATTCTTTGATTTGAATGTGTATGGGGCTATTTGTCTCATTCCCGACGTTTTGTCTCCCACCCCATTGTGGGGGTGTCAGCATCGGCACAGTATATCGTTACATTTTTCGTACGGGAAGCCCTTGGCAGTGGCTAGGGGCCCAGCCTGTACGCGTCAGCCTGAAGTGCAGCCGTAGCTTGCTAGCAAGCTTCCTCAGCTTGTAATTTCGGCTTTGCTGCCGAGGCAGCAAGCCATGCCACGGGTTGCTGCCGAAGCAGCAAGCCATGCCTTCGCCTGCTCCAAGCAACTTTCGCGAGTGCTTGAGTGAGGCTACCTCTCTTTTTCGCCATGCCCTATGTGGAGCCAGTGGCAATGGATTGCCCACATAAAGGTTCATGCTTGAAAATACAGTAAACTAGGCCCTTCAGCTGCACTTGAAGCAGCATCATAGTTTGGTTATGTCGATGCGTTTTTCTTTGCACGGCAGCGCCGATGGTTCTCGGGACCCTACCAATTTATTCTGTGGAGGGAAAGGCAGAGTAGTCAGGGACTGTGGGAATTCAAAGAGCTTGGCAGATGACAGATGCGTTTTTTTGCATTCTACCATAATGAAGCTGGGAAGAGATAGGCATGCACGTGGTGTACTTTGACGGGGAGGACCGCGAGCTACACTTTCCCGTGACACTTTTGGAAAGTCATCTACTAAGTCGCCTAAGAGGCAGCTGACTATCCCTATATTTGTCGAACAAGCTGCTAGCAAAGTAGAACGGGACAAGGACCTGGGTTGGGAGTGCGGGGAACCGTTTTTCGTGCAACCACCTTGGTGCACTCCCTGAACCAGGCCAGCGTCACATACAAGCACTCCCATCCCCTTTTACCGCGTTCACTGACTCTGTTGGAGAACGTCAAATACTTACCTGGCCCTCAGTAGGCAGGTGGTTAATTTACAAATACCAACTGAGACACACCGTTAGCTGAAGGTGTAGTAAAAATTGAGCTGCATTAATTAGCACGTTGCCACCAGGTGGTTCATTCCTTTAGTTGTGAATTCTGCATGCACTTTGTGCCGGTTAGTAGCACGACAAACGATCTCCTCTTGCTGGGGACGAAGTGTTGAGCGTGTGCTCCCGTGTTGCTTCGCCCGTGTTAAAAATCCATCGCCAGATCCGAAGACGTCGAAGACATCAGTGGTAAAGTGAAGGGTAAATTTGTTTCATTGCACCCTGCAGAACTTCAGGTGTTGCCGATCGTTCTCGTGCTTTTCCGCATCGGAGAGTCACCCAGGCTTCCTCCGATTCGCGGCATCGCGATACGGCCTATCCATGAATTCTACAACGAACTAGATGGAATAAAAAACGACATAATTTTTTTCATTTGAATTATGGAGAATTCCGCACATATATTTGGGCGATGGGGTGCTGGTAACAGCAACAACACAATAGTAACAAAACAACAGTGGCCCCTCTGCTCGCCGACTGTAGGGCTCCATGCTTCTCTACGAACTCATAGACGAGGCAGCAGGACTTCGAAACCCACAAATCGAAGACAAATTTATTCCTAAAAGACACTTTAGAAGACTGAAAACACTAAAAATTGTTGGCTGAAGAGGCAACAAGGAACCTGGAGTTAGGCGAGACGTCGCCACTTCAGAGACCGTCTCCTCTGGCAAGGTATAGTCTCGTTTTCGTACTAACCGCCTTATACGCCAAAAACAACAAGCCTAATTCCTTTTCTTGCAGAACACATGTTATTAAACAGGCTTGAGTAAGATCTGTACCTCCTGTCGAGTATGCTGGAGACTCCGTTGGCTCCCCGTGACCAACACCTCTACTGACCCGCCAGCCATGTGCCACTCAACAAGAGTAGGCAGTGTCCCTTTTGAAACTGCGGTTAAAACAGAAGATGGAGTCTCTGGAGCCTCCACGGATGGTTGGCGTCGGAGGAGGGCTGAACTCAAGGGAGCGCGACCGCCTGGTGAAGGCGAATATCCTGTACATTGACGGGAGAGACCTGCACCGGAGTCGCATGCTCGACTACACCCACTTTGGCAGAAATGTAGATGAAAAAGCACATGAAAATCGAAATGATCAATCCAGCGCCTGCAATAACAACAACAGCGTCCTCTCCCGTTACGTCCTTGAAATACTTGTGTTCTTATGCAGCTCAGACTCGTGTTTCTACGCCAAGAAGTTCGGAGTCCCCACACAGGATTACCCGCAAACCCCCCAGGATTATAATGTACGGCATCTGTGCATTTTTCGTCATCCCTTGACTGAGGTTAAATGCACCAACTGCCCCAAGTTTGCACAGTGTTTGTTTTTCTGCTGCAGAAGCTGGGCGTCGTTGGGGCACCACTCTCACCACCATATACAATTGAGCAGACTATTTGGTATGTGGTGAAATGTCAGTATCGGTTCCAAACAGACAGCATGTACAATCAGCTGGAGGATGTTTGTGTTAGTATTTTGAACCTTTCTCTGATGGATGCGCCACCTGGCAGCCATCACTTGGGACCAGATATTCTGCTCGCTTCTCTTGATGAATATCACTCCCGTTTGTTCGCGAATTACTACAAATGGTGCGACTACCTGGGGACCGCCCCTTTTCCCTGGAGGTCTCCGCCTTGGGTCGATGACAGCTTTTGGGCTCAAGATGCTCTTCAGGCAGCAGACGAGGCTGCTGACAGCGCCGGTCAGCTGCTAAAAGACTAGCCCAATTAATGAGCAGTAGAACCAACTGGTTCATGGTACGTATAAAGAATTTGCCTTGAGTAGCTCGTTTTCGTCCTGCAGGTTATTCAAAAGCGAACTTTTGCTCCCCACAAACGCGCCAAGAACTCCAGCAGATGATGTTTGAAGTCGCCACGTTCAAGCTGCTTTGGGCAGAGGCGGCAAATCTCCGCCATACGCCTGAGCTCCTTTGCTGGTTGTTTCATTGGCTCTGCATGGCGTGGGACAAGAAGTACAGAGCTGAGGAGGATTTCACCGACCTTATCCGCGACGTTATCCAACGAATTCGTGACGAACAGTGGTATCAATAAACTACACAAAGGCCGCAGACATATCCGATATACGATTATATGTCTAACTAGAGTACAAATGTCAAATTTGCATGAAACCCTTGTCCGTGATGTACGCCGTTTGTGGAATATAGGTACATGGCGTCGTCTCTGCGAACCCCTGACCACAATGCACGACTGATCTACGACGACTTCAACGAATTGTTTTGGAGCCGCCAGTGCCTTGATGTCCTTCACCGACTCACCAAAGACACGGGGGTTTCTGAGGAAGGACCTGCACACAAAGTTGAAATGATGCATCCTTCAGCGGACACCAAATCATTCTCAGACCATCAACTTGCCTCAAGCACCATCCCGGACCCTCAGATGAATCAGCGCTGTTCTATGGGACCATCTGTATCGCGAGAAAATCTGAATTTTGTGCTAGCGGAGCTATCTGGAGCGTCAAAGCCTGGATCTGGATTCAAAACCTTCGTAGAGCACAGAACATACGCACAAGTAAATATCAACAACAGCATTTGCACTCTAATTTAGTTTGGCATAAAGGGCAAGCACCAGAGAGACCTTAAACCCCATAAGCTGCTAGCAGGTAAAGTTGGATCCTCTCCCGTGCGGGGCGACAGACTTCTCCAGGGCACCTGTCCAAGGGACTTCAACTGTGAAGCGCATTTATGACTTTTGCTTTGCGCACACGCGTCAGCGCGTGCCGTTTTATGTTCAGGTTTTGCGCAATTTTTGGCGTATATTTGCGTGGCACGTGACAACGTTTGCCGGCATTTTCCTGCTCTATGCTGTACTAGACGAAGGTTTGTTGGAGCTCCTCCTCTGTTCCATCTTGTTACATAGCTTCCGCCTTAATAGTTTAGGTAGACCCGGCTTGGGGTAAATTGCAGAGCGCGACAACAGACTCGTTGAACTATTCGTGACGCAGCGGCAGGTAGAGGATCTTTTGTGGACTTCAAGGCTCTTGTGTCGTTCCGTGATAACACACTTTCCATACACTTTCCATACACTCTAGGTGATTCTGTTCCATTGTGAATCACCCATGGCAGAATGCCGCGGAAGTGCGCCAACGAAGCTCTGCTTTGTGCTTTCCTAGCGTTTATCTCATGCCGGTGGTTTCACAGCAGTGCAATTGCCACATCCGGTTGATGTGTCCTCAGAATCTTTCTATTCTGCACAAAGGCAGTGGGCTCTCATGACTCTTACGGCTGCGGTAACTTACGGGATGCTTCCCCTCTTTGGCTTGATGCTTGTTGACTACCGAACTCTCATCAGGCCACAGTGTTGGCAACGCGCATGGAAGAGGGTTCCGATCCATACAGTACGAATAGCTTTTGCCTTGAGCGCTCTGGTAATAGTGGCGTTAGATGGGCTTGATTCAGCTCATCTGCAGTGGACTGGTAAGTCTTTGAGGTCTTTTTCAAGAAAGCTACAGACGAAGTGTTCAGGGGAGCTCCACTTAAACCGGCCTGTACACACTCCTCAGGGTGGTGTAGTTGCATGCATGCTGCGGGAACAGCCACACGTGTGGACGCCTTCCCTCACTGCGTTTTAGGCCTTTTGAGCATCTTGTACTGGGCTTTCTTCGTATGTCATTGGGCTCATTATTTCCTGTACGTGCGCATTCAAGACCGTATGCCGTTCTTTGTTTTGCTGTGGAGCAACAAGTGGTTGGCACCCTTGAGCAAGCCAACAACGTATACTGGAAGTGTGCCACTACTAGCTGAGAATTTTACACATGTGGTGAGTGAGTGTGCTCTAGCTAGATCGAAGCGGTTTGGGGAACGAAAATGTGTGAAGGTGATGCTGCTGATCCAGTTCATTTGCTAGTTTGCCTTTTGGTTGGATGCAGTGATGGTATTTACAGCGCATTTCCTCTGCTGGCTTTTCGCAGCTGAAGTATTCCCTTTTTTGGCTCTGCGCCATGGCTGCAAAGGCTTTATATTGGCTCTACATCATCTTGCCGCCGATGGTTACTGCTTCAAAGCATGTTGACTACGTCTCATGCCGCCCAGTGTACATAAATTCCGTTGTCTTCTGGCCGGGTTATATTCCAGCGATCCTTCAAGGCTTTATCTGGTTGCCAGCATTCCTCATATGGCTCTTCGATATGCAGGTGTGCACTGAACCTGCATGAAGGTGTCTGCATCTCCCAACTGCAGTTGCCCACTCACAGTCTTGGGGACTGACGCAGGACCTCAAGTGGAAGTGGAACGTTCAAGGGCATGCCTGCTCATCTTTGTTTTCTTGTCCCGTCAGATCTTCTTCCTGCTATTTGGAGCTCTATACGGGAGTATTGATGGCTATATTCGGCGCGTTGGCTACACAACAAACTGCCGAAAGATCCAACAACGCCTTCTGCCTATGCTTCCTCTCACAGCAGTCTTCCGTTTACCGGGAGATAAGCCGATGATGGACAAAGGCCTGTTTAAAAGTAGGTCCTGTTGGAGATGTCAAATGAAAAAATAACAAAGAGAATGTAACCTGCACTACGGAGAGATTATGACTCTAGTGCCCTTTCTCCGCTCAGTGGGTTTCACTATATTAGCTCTGTTCGGTATTTCTCCTTCACATATTTCAGGCATGGTGTCTGGAATACCGCAAGTACAGGGGTCTTTCCAGTTTTGGCGCACCAACAATGTTGACCGCTACTGTCGGCGCGGGACATTTTCTAGGATGTCCACAAATGCGCGAGATAGACAACAGTGGTGTGCGCCACCTCCTGCTTTTGCACTGTCAAGCGCTCCTAACGACTTTCGAGACCTTTCTCTGCAATATGCAAATACAGGTGATCCCTACGTGAATATGGTAAGCGCAATTACACCTCGTTGAAGCACCCTCTACTTAGGCTTGGGTTATCACCAGATTGCTGGGCTAGTGCGGTTGGCTTTTATTTCCACGTTACTGCTATCTCTACTACATGCACTTCCACGAATTCTATGCATGCATATCTGTGCTTGTGTTTGGATGACTGCAGGTGCCTCAAAGGATGGCCCATACCGTGACCAGGTAACTTATTCTTCAGAAAAAATCTGTAGAGAAAAACCATACGGAATTGCCGGTAAAAATGAGTGTTGCCTGCTTTGCTCTCTGCAGGGCAGATTTCCCAAGCTCAAGTGCAAAGGAAAAACACGATTTAGTAGCAATGAAGAGATTCGGATTTCTATGGAACGAGATTATACAGAGTTGGCGTGATGAAGACATCATATGCTACGCCGAACAGGAGAAGCTTGAGTTCAACGAGCTACCCTGCATCTTGCTGAAGAGAAACAGCCTGGCAGATTTGGTAGGTCCATATGGCACTTGTCCGTTACTAGATACGGCAGTGCTCACTTGGTTTAGGTACTCTGGAGGTGTCTGGACAAACTACATAGGAAGCGTCTCGTCACACTGAAAATAACAATATAGTAATATAGGAGCGGACGCTGTTTCTGAGATGATCTGCTCAGTATGTAGGTCGTGGAGGCGCGATGTTAGATTGGAGCCAATCTGTTGTCCGCCACCCCGTTTACGTGTATTGCAACGAGCTGGCTAGCTTCCTCAAAAGCTGCGAGGACTTCCACTTCCAGGCAAGCGGTGACATGCTCCGTTTGTGCAGCAAGCAGCAGCTGGCTAGGACATTTTACCGCGAGCACCTATCAACAGATCCAAACTGCAAGGACCCTAGGTAAGCCTCCCGCGCTGCGTCCCCGCTTTCGAAATTGCTGTAAAGATAAGGATCAATGAAACATGCAATGCGGCATGGCTAAGGGACACAGGCTGGCAATTGAGCCAGTGCTTTAGGCGCATGAAGTGCCTGCAGAACCGCTTCGAAAGAACCAAAATACTCGACCCACTCTGCCTCTCCCTTCCATACAGGTTTGAAAAGTCAGTGCACTTGCAAGCTTGCCAAGAAGTCGCTGAAGCTCTCATGCTCTACCTTGCACGATATTTCAGCGAAGGCCATCTGCTCGTTTGGGCTATGGAAGAGTTATGGTCGTGGGTTAGTTTTTCTTCCATTAAGTAGTTAGGACTCTTTTGACGGCGGTCAAATATTTGATGAGGGTTACGTCACTTTAACTCAATCTAGCGTCCTCTTGTCAGCACCTTGTTGTGTATCTAGGTACGCCAGGACTGTATTCGATTATTGTGGTTTAATCTTAAAGGGCTAAAACCCCTTTCTATTGCTCTGCACGCTGTGTTTTCCCTAGTACAAAGGGTCAGGATTTTGTCCGCCAGCGAAACCGAGTCTCTAGCAAAGGCAAACGCACAGCTGAAAAAGGTGAGCCACTAATAACTGTGTTGTAAATGTGATGCCCAATGTTCACACAGAAGGCGCCTCAGCGTGAATTAATGCTCCGCAGGCACTGCTTGCAATGATCATGCTGCCAAGCAGTGAACCAGAAGAATTGGGTGGATCAAACATTCCACTTCCCGTTCAAGAGTACGTGAAGGCCGTGAGTGTCTGCTTCGGTTCCGAGTCCATGGTCAATGATATTCCCTCTATCTTTCCTGCTCCAATACAGCGCGCTGAAGTGGCAGTCATGATTGAACAACTCAAAATAGTGCTTCAGCACACCTCGCTATTGCTCCTTGCCAGCGAAGAAGAGAGGAGTTCAGTGAATGACGGTGGTGAGGCATTACACGGCACATGTGCAGCACGGCAGCACGACAAAGAGTGCGAAGTACGACAATTATGTTCTTTCGTTGTGGGCGACCGTGATTGTTCAGACCTACCACTTCTTCCTGAAGAACTGGCAGAACTCAGAGCACTTCACGCACAACTTGGTGAAGCTGATGCAAGCGTAGTTTTGGGAGACAGCGAACTGAAATGTGGCGTGCTCTCTGGCAGACAGTCAACAGAGTCACGGAGGATAGCAACGCTGGAGCATGGTCTTAGAATGTTTTTTCGAAGGGCTGCACGCATTCTAAAGGCTGATGACCCATCTTTCAAGTGCTCCGAAACTCAACGACGGTGATCAGCCTGATGTGTCAGCTAGATATATCGGAAATGCTCATGTAGCTAAAGCAAACCTGAGGTGGCATTCCAACACATTGAGCAGCAGCAGTTCATGAAAAACTTGTGTGAGGTGTGGTTTCGCTTTGCTCCAGATTCAGCACATTTGTCAATTCACTCCTCATGAAAATACCCGAGACACCCTTGGTACGCAATATGGTGTCGATGATGACCCTCACGCCGTACTACAGGGAAGATACACGCCTCGACTTGCAGGTGAATTGTTTATTTGCTGCGGCTTTCTCCCCTTACATCTTTTCATCATGGAGCTGATGCCTGTCTAATCGAGCAAATTCCCAAGTACCTCTACCTGTAAATTCGGAAGCAACTACTGCCAATGTGCGCACAGGACCTGGAGAAACGGACTGATGAGGGCGTTTGCAAGATGGACCTCCTTCGCAGTCTTCACCCAGTTGAGTTCGACAATTTCATCGAGAGAGTTGATCGCGACAGGGACATGTTTACTATTAGACAAGAAATAGAAGATCGCGTTACGGATTCACCAGAGCGGCGCAATCTAGCCCTACAAGACATCCGTACACAAATGCATCAAAGTGGACTGCTCCATCGGTAGGCATCTAGTCAGCAAATAAGGAACAACCGATTTATAATTTTATCCCACTATCGACCCTGCAACTGTTTTATGTTTGTTTCCTGGTGCTTTTTCAGATACGACCGATTCTGTGAGATGCTTCAAGAATGGGCCTCTTATAGGGGCCAGGTGCTGATGCGCACAGTCTACGGCATCATGTACTATGAACAGGCTGTTCGAATGCAGGCAGGTCGTTTGATCGTCTATGGTGGTGATCGTCCATTGCCACGGCTAGGAACTCACATATGCAAGATATTAGCTATTACACTCATCTCAGTCACCCATGCGTGTAAGGTGCACTTCACCCTAATCATATGGGTGAGCTGTACAGGCATTTATAGAGGAAACACCTCCAGAGGAGTTGCACCTATGCAGAGACTCAAACAGGCTTGATGAAACTCAACTGGACATTATTAGGAGCCCAGAGGGGGCGCTGTGGAAAGAGGTACTCGGGTTTGCCCCTCCTTACGAAATGAAGCAGTCAACACGGGTAAGTTGAGCCGTTTGATTATCTACACGACAACAGCAATCGAAAGCCTCTCCTCTGAAAGTGGGGACGAATAACACGTGACTGTTTTATTGCCTCTCAGGAGCTCGCCCAGCTAAAATATCAATATGTTGTAGCTGCCCAGGAGTTTGGCACAGACTTGGGAGCGCAGCCTCCGACAAGCGGGTGTGAACCTTCTCCATTGCTGCGCGCTCAGTTGCTTAGAAAGGTGGCTCTGTACAAGCTGCTAGTACGCTACCCAACCTTGCGGATCGCAACACTTGAACATGAACGCACCCCTGACGGCAGGCCTACAGGACACAAACTCAGTGTCCTTTACCGGCTAACGGCCGACATGGATCCCACTGGACAACGAATTCCCTCTTCAAAGGCAACAACTATCACAGAAATGAAGGCTTCAGGCGGGTTCGTTCGCTCTGCAGACGGCGAACTGCTTCCCGCACGCATTCCCAACCTTTTGATTCCTGCCCCACGCCTACCTGTCTGTACGCCAGGAGCTAACATGGGGACTGGATCCACTGTTACAATTAAACCCAGATGCGGGGGCAGCAGCACAGGAGGGGATCTATCTGGCGAGGCCGCGTCCTATCAAAACAGCAAATCGCCTACTGGCTCTAGCGAAAAGCAAGGGTTGACGGCGCCGGCTGAGTCTTCGCATAGCTCCCGGGAGCGCGATATCAGTGTGAGAATTGAGCAGGAGGTGCCAGTTCGTCGGCGTGGTCAGTGCCGAAAAAGTGTCTGTACAACCATTGCCGAAGGCACTCGGGAACTACTGAAACAGGGTTTCGTAAGCCTCAAAATAAACGAACCTGCATACGGTGGTCCTACAGCTTACGCGATACTCAACACGGGAGGATTTGGGCAACCTACACCGGCTACACTAGCTCCTGAAGCCCAGGCAGAATTAAATCCCCTTCTCCCTGCTGGATCGTCTACCAGGGGTTCCGCGGGAAAGGGGATAAGTGGAGGTGCCGGAAGCTTCGAATCGAAGATCACACGTGCTCTTCACTGGCTGCGCCAGAAAAAGGAATATGACCGGTCCCTGTTTGCTGCCCGGACACAAGCTGCGCTTCGCTGTTCACATGCTTCTCGAGAGGCTGTGGGAGACTCGGATTTGAAGAATCGCTTAAAGGTGGTACATCCTGAGCCAGCTGAATCGGTAAAGAAGACTTACCTCTCCATGTTCCGACAAGGGGTACAGCGTTGCCCGGAGGGAAACCAAATGGGAGCTTCCTGTTGTGTCCTCAGTTCACTCAATGGGGCCGGTCGCATTGATACCCTAGCAGAGTGTTCAGGAGATTCAGGAGGTGCAGAAAACTCGTGGGTCAAAGGGTCTCAGACAGATGTCCAGCTGTGTTCAGCTCCTCTTCACAATGCAAGCCCACGCGCTCCCCCTACCCACACACTGGAAAGAGAATATTTCAAGATTGTTTCAGAGGAAGAAGGGGACAGCGAATCCCACAGCAACCCTCCAGCTCAGCGGAACCACTGTGACTCAACCATGAGTAACTACCGTTGGAAAACCGACTCTGGATTCCTGGCATCCTGTTCCCCTGACGGCTGGAACAGTATTGTTCCCATGCCAACGCTCCTGGAGGCGCAGTTTGCTAGAGATTTGGCGCGCGACTACATGGGTCCCTTGGCGCCCATTGGTTGTGCTGAAAAACCGCAAGCAGTAGGTGGTCAATTTGGTTCTGTGTCGGGCAACAAGGTGAATTACCCAGGTGGGCTCTGCGCGAATTTTGACCCCTGCGCAACGCAATCACCAAAGGGGCCTGGGGTTCGCTATTCACACTCGAGATACCCTACGGATGCATTAGCTGCAGAACACAGTCGCGGGCGGAGGCGGCATTCCATCATCACTCTGCAGCCTATGCAAGAGGGCTCGGCATCATGGAGTGCTCTTTCAACCAGGACCCACCGGCGACAACACATATGGGATTCTGCTGCGTGGCCCGGGGAACATGTGGCGGCCAGTAAAAGTGGCGGCGTCAATATTGGCAGTAAGATGGGATTAGGCACTGGGTCGCATCCAACTCCGCTGGGAAAGCCGCTTTATCGGCACGAGACCTCACATCTAACAGAATTCCAACTTTTTCCCAGCGTTCTAGAGACAAGCGGCGCAGGAAGAAGGGAGGACAGCCAAGATTGGCAACGATCACTCGACGTAAGAGCGGGAGGTGAGAAGAGCGAGGCTCGCACGATTTCATCAAGCGCCGCCACCCATAGAAGCAGCAGCGTTGAGGCTCTCAGAGAAAGAGGGATGTTGACAATGAAGGAGCGCGTAGCCTTCTTTGAAGAAAAGCTATCTCGCCACCAAGCGCGCATGGAGGCAGAGGCTCAAAACTTAGTTAGACTTAGGCGAAACTCTGACCAAGAAGAAATGACCTGGCCTTCACGTAGGGGTCCACTGAGGCTCGAGGCGATTTACAAGATTCGGCTGCCTCTGATTGTAGACGAGTCAGGGACACCGTGGGGTCGCGCTCCCATCATTGGCCCGGGAAAACCTGAAAACCAGAACCACGCTATTGCTTTCTCACGAATGGACACTATGCAGGTAATGGATATGAATATGGAATCATATCTCGAGGAGGCGATGAAGCTTCGCAACTTGCTGCAAGAATTTGCACTGAACGGGCGGATGCGGATTCTCGGTAAAACATCTTCATGAATGCGTGTCAATCCACACACATGAAGAAGCATGTACAACGGCACCCACTAATTCTAGTATTGTAGTAATGACGTTTAGTACTAGCTAACCCACATTCGCCGCACAACATCCACGAAGTCAATTGCTGTTCAGTCGTTTTGGGCAGGCTTCAGAGAACACATATTTACGGAGAACGTTTCAAGCTTGGCCAGCTACATGGCCCTGCAAGAAAATCTTTTCACAACGACAAACCAGCGCTTATACTTCACTCCTTTAAGAGTGCGCAATGACTGCAAAATTTATCATGGCCTTCTGCCGTTGGTAATTTGGTTAAGCACCGTGCATGTCCGCTTGCGCGTGGAGTATACATCTACCCGTAGTCTGAACGGAGCGTGAAGAAGCTCTTTCTTGATTTCCATAGTGCTACCAAGTTGGAATCTGCTTGTACTTTCCAGGTGCGCATGCACTATGGTCATCCTGACATATTCGACCGCTTCTTCGTACAGACATGCGGCTCTTGTTCAAAAGCTTCCAACGGAATTAACCTTTCAGAAGACGTTTTTGCTGGTTTTAATTGCACCGCTCGAGGATATTGTGTACACCACGCGGATTACATACAGGTAGGATACACGAACTGTTACACCCAATAAATTAGGTCATTTGAAGGAAGCGTCGTGACGTTGTGTCTGCGCAGCCAGATATTGAGCGCTACAGCCGATCGCATGGTCTTTAATTTTGTGCATGATTTCAAATTTGGCCTGTGAATCACTCTGGTGAAAAGGTTCATCACGTAACTCAAATGAGCCTCTTCCATTGCAGCCACTGCTCGTGGGAGTTGTTTTTTCTTTTCATGTCAGTTAATATGAACGGACCTGTGGATGCAGTGCGGCAAGGGGCGTGATGTCGGTTTGCAACAAGTTGTTATGTTCGAGAAGAAGGTTGCTGGGGGAAACGGTGAACAAGTACTTAGTCGCGATCTCAACCGTCTTGTTTTAAACATGGACTTCTTCCGAGTGTTGTCCTTATGGTTTACCGGCCCTGGTTTCTTCTTAAACTCTGTTATTCTCGTCCTGGCTGCGTACGTGTGCTTGTACACCAAATGTTTCTTGGCGTTTGCAAGTGCGTTCGAAGTGAAGATTCCTCAGACAATAGTGCCCTTTGGTACAGCTTGGGTATTTAAGAAGGGTTTAGTTGCTGACACAAGATTAAATCAATATCAGTAACACAGTACCACCCACTAGGTTACCCTGCTGCGGACTTGCATATTTGCTGCAACGCAGAGTACAACTACAGTGGGCCGATTGAAAACGCACTAGAATATGTGTTGACGCCTTCCACGTACGTTCAGTTCCAGCTTGGAATGCTGCTCGTGCTACCGCTCATACCCTGGCTATTTTTAGAAAAGGGTTTTGCAGCAGCACTGCGGAAGCTTCTCGACCTGATAAGCAAGTTTTCTGTGACGTACTACAACTTCATGAGTGCGTTCGTGAACGTGGCACGCTCCCAGGCGTAGACCGAGATTCAGCGTTGCTTGTTATACATCAAGATAGACTTCCGTACTCCCCCAACCTGTTAGGGCCATTCAATCAGCCAGCCGTTCGATGACACATGCGGCATGTATTTCTTCTGCAGCCTGCACAAAGGCGTCCGTCATAGACCACGTATTGATTTATGGAGGAGCCAAGTATCAGGAAACTGGCCGGGGATTTGTTATAGAGAGAGCAACCTTGAAGGACATTTGGATGTTCTTCTATTTCACTCACTTTTCCATAGGACTGGAAATGTTCGTCCTGTTGATCATATATGCAACGGTAGGGAAGCAACATAATTCTACACAAGAAACAGATTCAAAAGGCACTTTACGATGCACGATGTTGGGGCCAAGGCAACCCTGGCAGTGAATAGATGGCGCTTAGCTGTCTGAGGGCCAAGTGGAGGAATTTGCCTAGCCCTTCCCTAAGAGCTTTTGTGCTGCTTGCTGTTGATGATTGTGCAGTACGCTGGGCTTGAGGTTGGTGTACTTTTTCTCGACACGTGGCCAATTTTGCTGATGGCGGCTTCGATTAATTCTGTGCCGTTTATTTTCAACCCCTTGGGTTTTTACTACCCGAGACTGCGGCAGGACTTCGCGAGCTGGAATGCGTGGCTGTCATCCCAAGTAGGTGTTGTCCCATGGAGGGAATTCCAAGAGGCTGCCCGCTGTGCACCTGTAACCGCATGGCCTAGGTGCATATGGTAGTGCGTGCGACAGGAGTTGCCCATTTCAATTGCAGGAACTGGGGATGCCAAAGGAGTCGTGGTTGTCATGGTGGAGGGGAGAGATGGAGCAGCGTTGCAACATCGTGTGGCACCACAAAGTCATCATTGTGCTTCGACTTATGCGATTTCCCCTCCTTGCTGCTGGGGTCACATCCTGCGTGGCAACGTACGACTGCACTGTCATGAGTGCTAATGAATGCTTCTGCTTCTCCTGTGACCTCATACTCACTATTTGTGGTATAAACGCGTATAAAGGGCTCATATCCACATGAAAGCTGCCGAAGTAGCGAAACCTTGTTTAGTCGTTTGTGTGCCCGCAGCTCCATACAGTCTGCAGATGTAGACTGCGCATTGTATCTGGTAGCAGCATCTGGACTTTTCGCCACCATTAAAGCATTACTAGGGGACTTGCAAATGCTTTGCCCGTCTATGAAGGCGTGGCTTTCTCTCCTTCTTGTCACTGGGACAACAGCGCTGCTTTTCTGGCTCGTCACAACCAAGAAAGTATCACTATCTTCAATAATCGTTTCACTGTTTGCTCTCTGCCTGTTCATCTACGGGGTAATCGAAATCGCCTTCGCACTTCTGGACCGGTGGGCAGTCCGCAACGAGATGCTGTCAGATGTGGTCCGGTACGTCCGTCCCTGTTGGTCATAGTGCAGCGTGAATCCCCCCAGCTAGCCATTAATGAGTTTCTACTTTGTTTGACAGGGGCTCATGTGTGTCTCCAGGATGTACCACAGATGCGCGGGGTTCTGCACGTTTGCGCCACTGTTGGTCCTGTCTGCAATTACCACCAGCGTGCACCATCTGCAAACAAGAATCCTTTTTAATCCGACTTTTGTCTCCATCGTTAAAAGCGGCTTAGTGCAACGCGAACAAGTTGAGAAGAGTGGCCGCGGCCACAGTTGACATTCGCATGCTCCATGCCTCAATGTAGGAGCTCTCTTGCCTATCCCAGCAGTCACAACAGCAAAACTATATTTGCTCTGACACCACACGTCGAAGCACTGCAGAATCGTACATGCATTCTAACAACTACTTACTTTTCCCACGATACTGGCGAAGCCCGCTTCCTGGTAGAGCGAAAACGCTTACTCCTCACGTTTGTTATTTTCTGCACTTGTTAATAGCGTTCAAGATATACTTTCTGTTACCAGCTTCTAAAACCCTACGGATGGTGCTAGAGTCTGGGGCAGTGGGTATCATCCATAGGTGTCGCTGGTCCTTCATAAAACGCCTTACGGAAGGCCACGGCTAGACTGCACATCACAGTATTGTTTTGCAAAGGCTTATCCACTAGAGTTTCAGACTCGGTTCCACACCGCATTGCTGGCGGGAGCTGCCACCGAAGCAAGCGAAGCGCCGACAGTCCACAGGCGACTGCCATGACCAAACAGACGCGCCATTGTACGGAAACACTAAAGTTTTGAGAAAAACAGGGAAAGAGGCACAAAGGAAATCGGAACAAGATGAACATATTTATGATAACCGTACTTGAGGTCCCTCTCCTCCCCTGGTGGACGCCTGCAACCCATTGTTGTCCATAAATGAACCAGCGCCGGGTGCAGAACTTTCGTAGATATGTAACTGCTTCAACTATGAGACTGGTCTCCGATGGCTGCCGTGTCACGCGAGACAGCCAGGCTGGTGAAGTGGAGCACCGCAAAGCCCGTACTTGTCCTAGCCAGTTTGAAGCAGTGGCAAACTGTGTAATGTTAGTGATAAAACTAACTCTTTACATACACCAAAATTGCAAGGGGAGCTGAACATGGTTGATTTCAAGACGTGTACCTGCAGGGGCTATCGGGCGAAGCAGCATGCATGCCAAACTGGCTGCAATTGGCTTGACGAAGGCCAGCTGTATTGTTATTCTTAAAATCTTGGAGAATCGTGGAAATAAATATGTTGTGAAGCTTCTTGAAGCCGGTACTTACGACGGACGAGCATTTCTTGGGAGCGGTGACCCACTTGTATGCAAAAGTTGCTGTTGCCACCCTGTGGTTGTCGGGCGGACTTTTTCCCATTGTCCCTGCAGCCGCCACAGAAAATGGCCAAGGATTATTTTACATATACTAATGGCATCTCAGGAGCCCAATGTAGCACGTTGGTTCATCGTTCTACAGAGCATTGAAGATCGTCACAGCTGTGATCGTCCCGCACAAATCCCATAAACCGTGAAACAGAATGGCTGGACAGTAGCTGTGACGTGTTTAGATATATTCGTGCTTGTGTAGGATTGTTCCAGGCTCTATTTCGGAGATATATATGCTGGAATATCAAGCCTCCAAGCCTTCCGCGACTGCAGATGCATCATGAAATTCCGAGGATCGCCTGTACGCCCAGTCCGTTACACGGAGCCAACTAGTACGTTTGCTTCGGAGGTGCCTCTGGTACCAGACAGCCGTAACAGGTTGCTGGTGGACCTCGAAGCAAGGGGGTCCAGACTAGCTGACACTGCCTCAGGCGCATTGTACCGTGTTCTGTCGGGCTGTGTACGAAGGCTGTACGGGGAAGTACAGACAGCGTCTTCACTGTACGGCTATATTGATTGTGACCGCGGAACTGGGCTGACTAGGGCTGCCTCGGGAAGTCGAAATATCTCGGGGAAGCCGGGGCCTCGGAAGGAAAATACTGTTTCAGCAGAGCCAAATCTGCCCACTGGCCAACAGTCCAGTGTAGAACCAGGTGCTCTCTATCCGGCGAGTCAGTTAGTAGACCCTTGGAAGCTTCTACAGAGGACTGTATCGTGGCTTCCACGGCTTTCGTTAACATGGCTAGGGTTCGCATATGGCATCTGTTCAGCTGCTGCAGTGGGGACGGCCATCGTGCTGCTTTTTAGGAGCAGCTTTGCTCAGTTCGTCATAACTGCCCCGGCGATTTTTACATTCGCCATACTAGCAAGCTGCGCGATTGTGTGGATTCAGCTGCAGCTCGCAGTACATCGGTCTACCAGACGGATCTACCAATTGCTGGCTGATTTGAGCATTCAACACAAGCTTGCTGGAGAAACAGTGAGGTGTGCTCCCCACCTATGTTACTGCTGCAGAAAACTAGATACTTACAGCGAACAACTACCCACTGGCAGCCCCATTATTTGTCGTTGCTCCCACATTCCCCTTTCTAACGGGAGCCTGTGACAATCTGCGTTGATGTCTCTGTCAGATGGATACAAGAACTGGAAGTCACATTTAAGGCTTTTACAGGTGACCTTGCAAAGGTTGATCAGGCATTTGGAGGTGTTTCCCCGTCTGTAACACCATGCAAGGTTGGCTACGATCAAGGACCTGATTGCTCTTCTCAACGACCTCACGAAGTTTCTGTCAGGGGTCCACCCTACTGCGAAGACATTCCTTGCCGCCAAAATGGAGAGGATAGGGGGCGGAGACCGGGACGGCCCAATTGCTCACTTTTGAAGGAGCCATGCGCGTGGCACTTGAGACTGCGCTTCTACCAGGTGCTCGACTGGCAGCACCGCATTTTCTCCTACCTATACGACGACATCGTTAGGTGGGAACCAACCCGTCAGCTTGCCTGGAAAGACCAGATTTCACAAGGGCCCTGGGGACGAGCTGAGACAAGCAGCTGTGGTACCAGCCAGTTTGATGGCAACCTTGGGGCTCTTAAAGAAATGACGGCCAGAAGCTGGCGTTTGCACTCGAGGTTTCTGGGAGGAATTCATGTATCATTGAGGCATATGCTGTTTTCTCTAAACGCCAGATTCTTGAGGGCTGAGTTTGATGTTAAACGGAAAGTCGGCGGGTTTACGGCGGCTGCCTCTCCTCTTATCCCGAAAGGGACGCCGACCCGATATGTTAGCCGCGTGCTGAAGCAGGCACTGCAAGATCCACAGCAGTATCACTCACCGAGCGGCTGCGGGAAGTCTCTACATGAAGAAATACATAAGGCGGCAACGGTAGGGGGGGGGAGAGGAGGGTATGATCAAATCTTTAAAAGGCGTCCCCAAAAGCATGGCAGCAGCTACACTTTATGCCCCCAATCCATCGCGAATAGGCCAACAAGCGCGCCCGAACCAGCAGGACCAGCAGTAGCAATGACCGAGAAGGCGGCACCTGAAAATTCAGTGCACTGTAACTGGGTATGGGCCTTATTCAAAGCTTTAGGTGTTGGAGTATTCAGTGGATGTGCTGTCTTGGGAGCTGTTGCTGACGGAATACGAGCGCTGTTGTGGCTGTATGGCCGGGTGCACCAGCTTGGAATTGTCTTATCTGCTGCTGGTCATGTGGCCTCTGAGGCAGCCAACGCACTATGGATGATTTTAGAAGAGGACTGGGCTTCGTCTCCATTTCTTTTGCCCCAGCCCCTTTGGGGTGGAGGGATGCGCGAGAGGGGAGAAACGCCCAACAAACTTACAGAGGCAGATGCGGAAGCTCAAAAGCTGCCGCGGTTTGCTGTTTCTCCTCCCAGATTTGGGTCCGACTGCGGAGGCACTCTGTTTAAGATTGTATCGGACAAGCACAGGTCTGCCCTGGCGACAATGAGTCGTAACGTGGCTGCATCTCTTGCGCTGCTTCGTATCCCTGCAACAGCCCATGGCCGTCACTTCAAATGCCCAGAAAATATTCTCTCCATATGGCGAAAAAGCCGCTCTGCGTCTAACTCCGGTCAGTGCAGTATGAACACAGGAGGCGCTGTTTATCTGTCTTGGCTGAACCACCGCACCGCAGCAGAGGAAGGGCAGGAAGCAGAAGGTGCAGAGTTGCTTGGCATTTTGCCCCTGATACTTCGACACCTGCGGACTGCATCTGAGGAAGGCGAAAAGCTGGAGAGATCGCTGCGGTTTACAGAAGAGAAGGTTGAAAGCTTTCAAAACTGTACCATTGCAAGGACGTCGGAGGACCTTCCGGTTCAACCGTCGGAGAGGGATTTGCATTCTGAAGAGCCAGAACAACCACTGCAGGCAACCGTTTCTGAGCCTGTGCAATGCTTCGAGATCTACACGGCTGTTGGGCAAGATTCTCTAACTAATAAATGCAGATTCCAAGAAGAAGAAGGAGTGAAGGAAGCCTTCGCTGAAGGTGACCCAGCTGTGCGAGAGCGCAGTCAAATTACTCTACGAGAGCTAGAGCTGAGACTGAAAAGAAAGGAAAGGGAACGACAGTGCATCCCTCGTGTGTTGAAGGAACTCTCAGTAGTTGCAGCCGACAGCGCAGATGGATGTGAAAGCGGGAAAGCAGAAGACGGTGCAGTAGTTCGTCTTGTGACGCGAGGCAGCGGTGAAGCGTGCAGCTGTTCTCCACCAGAGTCACCCACGACAAGCAGGGCTTCGTCTGTAGGGGGGGACACGCAGAACGATCAGGAGGTGGTGGCTCCTGGTTCGTATGTTACAGGTGACCTGAATGCCCAGGAAGCATTACATCAGGGTTGTGTTGGAGTCTCACCAGTGCAGGCAAAGCACACTGTGCTCGAGGCTTTAAGCCAACCACAGGAGACGTGCATATTCCCAGATGTAGATATTATAGACAACGAACAAGCAGCATTTCGAATCTGCCGAGAGAAATTCAAGGGGCCCTCCACACGGGGCGTCGCCTTTATGCCTGAGACTCTGGTGACTCAGTCCCTCATGTCACAATTACGAGGTGTTCTCAAGAGCCAGAAAAGGACACACACTGTGTTGACCTCCACAGAAGCATCTTCAGGGACACATCAGGGATCCAATTCAGTTACATTCGGCGACTGCATAGCGGACGAAGAGTGGAGCGCATGCGACGTTGTTGAAGGGCCGAGCTGTGCTGGAGAAATTCCGACCTGGGTGGAAGCCCCCTCTGATTCGGGGGACAGTGGAGTGGTTAGTCCGAAGGGACAGGGGCGAAGCTCCATGCAGTATCCTGACGGTGGAACTACTGGTGAATCTGGGTGCCCTGTGGATGGTTCTCCTTCATGTCCGAGTGGGAACGGCTAGCTGTGCTTGCACTGAACTACTGTTTGTACACACATGCCCAGTTTTGGCAGCGCATCTAGACCACGTGATTAATCTACTCACCACTGGTGGGTACGGCACTCCAAGATGCAGATGTCCTTGGTGTAACATGTAATTCGCCAATTCACAGGTTCTTCTAAGCATTTGTTCTGCCTAGATGCGCTTGCGTCTTTGATCCGCTAGAATGTGTTGGATGGTTGTGGATCGATTGTTGCAATTACTGTGGTATTTTATCAACGCAATTTTGGTCCGCTCCACAGATGGCTTCACCCGTTTATGGGGTCCACCAAGCACAGCATGCTTTCTGGTCAATAAGGATCATGACTAATGGACACCTGCTCATTCCTTGCGTACGAGGAGCTGTTTTGTGGCGGTTCCTCGGAATCTAGTTTACTTTCGGTGTGCACAGTTAAAGCCCGACTTTCCCCAAAATTAGTAGATATCTTAGAAGTAGTGAAACCCAAAGAGTTGTAACCGGGCTGTGGCGAAGCCTCTATACAGTTTTTCCACCATCTCGTGTTAGGAACTGTACAGTGCAGGCAGAATACTAAGTTGATTTGTATTCGACCGTAGTTGTCACTTTCACTGAAGTGGCGATACCGCATGCGTTGCTCACGTCCCTTGTTGTGCTAGGCGTGGTGGCAGTGGCAGCCGTGAAAAAAGAATATTCCGAACTCGCATCTTCGCAAGTGCGTTACAGGAACGTAGAATATATTATATTTTCGGAAGGCGTGTTCGTTTGGGCCTGCTGTAAATCCAGTATGCCATTGGGGTTCGCTGCAACACAATGTATAGCACAGTGCAACAGTTCAGAGTGAATCCTGGAGGAAGCCTGCTCGTACCACTCTTCAGCAGTTAAACTGAGGGAAACTGGATTCAGGAGAGCGTGTTGGTTACCGTGACAGGCCTGGAGTTCGAGTGAGGCAGGTTCTTCAGCAGCGGTGCCCAGCTCGTTTAGTTTGCCAGCTTCTGCCAGCATGTGGTTCTGTTCCTCCTGTGACGAGTGCCAGGAGCACTCAAAATGCTCGATGTTGTCATTCCACGAATTTATTTGGTGTGATGTTTCACCTTCTTTTACCCACTGGAGGTACGTTTTGTAGAGAGCTTTTGCACCGCCTTGACGGATTGCCCGGATATTCGAAATAAAGCTGAAAAGCCTGCCTGTAACATCTGCTGGTGGAGCTTTCACGTTCCTTAGCGCGATGCGTAGAAGGCTCACTCCTTGAGCTGCACATGCAATATGAACAATCACTTGCATCTGCTGTTAGTCCATTGTCCGCTGATCACTGTCACAAAAGCTAGAAACATCTGTCTAGAACAATCTGGCTCACGATCCTACCTCGAAGCTCGATGCACTGGTAGAGCTCCATCATTTCACGGTACTTGGTCCCTTGAGAAAGCAAATCCAATTTGGATTTCCCCTTGCAAGCGTAAACTAGCGCGCGACCATATTCAGAAAGCGCTGAATACGTTTTGCCGGTGGTAAATCCGTAAAGGAGGCCTAGGCCAAATTCATCTGCGATTTTCGATATTTTTACGTTGCCTTTGTCGAGTAAAGGCCAGTACTTATGCCCCACCGTGCTAGTGTGCTTACAACCAGCCTTAATATTCTCCGTTATCGCTCTTATCGGATCCGCGCCTACGATCAAGCATCATACAGTGCTTGGCTAGGTAGATAGCCCAGACCCAAGACTATCTTTCACATGAGTTGTCGGCAGTTGTTAAAAACAGAGAAACAGCTCAATGCTCGTGTACAACATCCCCGAGCTCGGCTTACCATGGTTTAAGATTATGAGTGTCTGGTATACTCTGGCTAGGCGAAACGCCTCCTCAATTTTGCTGGGAGCAAGGTCTACTTGGTGTTGGCTTCCATTTGCCCACATGAAGAGGATGAGCTTGGCGAACTCATGGCCGACCTTGTGGTGCACTATATTTCCTGAATCTTTTCTTCCAGATCTTCTTTTTAAAATACTCCGGATCCTCTTCTTGACCTTCTCGACCTTTCCCGTTGCTTTGAAACCAAAGCCTCCCATGAACTTCTCAATGAACTTTCTAGCATTTACCGTCATTTGCTTCACCGCCTTTTCATACAGTTTTCTCCCAGGTGATTTGCCAGAAAAGGCGGCTACGGCCTCCGTCCATCCCTTATTACCGTGCTCTTCAACTTCAACACGCAGGAATAAAGCTGAGGATATGTGAAACAACGCATTTATTTCATCATTTCATTGTCAGCAAGCATGCTATCCAGAAAATGTCCAAATATCCTGGTTAGACTGGTTTTGGCAGATCCACTAGCGTCTTCACAAGTTTATCAACTCAGTCTGCAGTGCTGGCGCACCTATACGAATGGCCAGCGACGCAAAAGGCCCGAAAACCTTGCACAGTGCTTCAGTGTCATCTGAAACATGACAAGAAAGCAGCCTGAAGAATGCGGAAAACGCCTTCGAGCCTTTGGCGAGCTTGCGATTTTTTTTGCTGCTCTGCAGGTTTGCTCCCGCGATGCTTGTGTTGTGCCGGAGATCAGTTGCCACATTCAACGCCAAGAGTTGGGGGTTCGGAAGGCCCAATCCGGGCACCGTGTGGGTTCCTTGCACCGGTTGCACGGCGTCCTTCGTCAATGAGTCCGCAACGCACGAAACTTCTTCAGCCTCTTCTGCAAGGTCTTTGGGTGCTAGCGTTGAGCTGGCAATGCGAGCTAGTCGCCAAACCTGGCCACCCAGAAGCTCCAAGTAGGAGAGGGCATCCGCAGCCAAAAAGTTCGACAGGCGAACAACTGCAGGAGCAAAGCAAAAGAGAGGGTGTTAACTTCTTGGGCATCAGTGCAAAAAGAATAACAGAGAATTTCACGTCGTATGTCAGCCCACAACTGTTTTAGTTGTACCGTATGCATTAAAATGCCCCTTGTTTCCCATTACAGTTGTCACATTTTCCGTTGTTCATTCTGTTTACATTAGTAGGCAAGTGGCGGATAATTACCATCTCCAGCAAGGATGTAATCCTGTGCAATAGTTTTTCTCTTGATATATTTCTGGTCGAACCAGTAGTTTCTCTGTGCAACGGCTCTCATGCAGCGTGCGTCACAATCTCCCATGTATCCAGGAGCCAACTGCCCTACGATATAAAGACAGAACCAGAAGTCGCTGTTCGATGCATTAAAAAAGGAGCAAGATAAGTGCTGAGCCAGAAGGTATCTTCTTCTAGAGAAAGTTCTCCTGTGAGTAGCTCGCCTTGTTTGGAAGTGCAGTCGTTTGCAAGAGCTTGGCGGTCGTTCTCTATGTCGGAGGACAAAACTGAAAACATTGACAAGCGAAATGGAGCATTAATGTGCTGAGGCATTGAAGTAGTAAGGACATATCCAGCTGATGAGAGTCATCGAACAGGTAAGACGATGTGCCGTACAGCAGGTTAAGCCGAGTGGTATACCTAAACTTACCTAATTGCGACCAGTCGCTTCTCATCTTTTTCCAGACGTCCGCACAGTGTGGAATGACAAGGCTAGAAGACTTGAGTGACTCCGGAAAGACGAATGCGACGGCAGACCTGCATTGATTTTCAAGGGCCGACTGCAATGTTCCTTCGCCTTGCACCTCAAGAGAGTAAAACTTAGCATTCTCGATGACTCGCCAGACGAGTTCGTTACCCGAACCATATAGATTTCTCTGTGTTAGAGGCTTGCAACCTTCCAAGGCTGTGTAGCCTCGAATGAGCTGTAGTATTTCAAAAGCTGCACACACATGATACAGACGAAGTATAAGTTGGTAGGGCTTGTATTGAGTTTTTGGCACTTCTGTTCCTTGTGCACAAGCAGTACAACACGGCTAAGCTCACCTTTAACTGCGGAGTCTGAAGTGTAGATGTCGCTCATCTCTGCTGGGTCGGGTTTATACTGTCCCTTTCCAGGTTTCACAATCGGGCTGGCTTGGATGCCAGGCAGTCGCCTCATCGCCTCTGCAAACCATAAAACTACAGCATTTTGGAGAACGCAGGAAGAAGCTTAGTACCTGAAGGGTGGAAAAGAGGCGAATACGCCCTATGTGCCGTGCGAGGATCGGCTTACAATGAAACATCTCCGAACTTTTCATTGCAGTCTGCAGATAGCGGGGGTCTCCCGTCTGTATAGTTTTTTCGAAGGGTTCTCTGAGTCCAGCCAACTCAAATATCTCCTCCATATCTTGCAGGAGATTGGGGTCCTCTTCATTCAAGTTTTCTAGCTGATTCTTCAACACCGCGTCTGCAATATATCTGTATTCTGAAGGACGCGCAGAGCAGATACACGAAGGAGCCAGAAGTCCGACAATTCAGCTGACAAATCACGTCTACACATGAGTAATCGAAAAGCCAAACCTACTTTCTCTTATTGTGAGAATGAGACGGTCACGCGGAATGTTAATCCTCTCCCCATCTTTCTCCACGCTACATTCATCTCCTTGTACACCAACGACCGTGTACTCGCCACTTTGTACAATGGTTGACCCATCCTCCAGAACTTTGACCACGTCGCCCACTTCCACAGGCGGGGGTACCCCTGTATTCAACGCCATGCAAACCATAGGAAGTTAAGCCCCAAATCCCTTCTTTTGCATACCAGGGAATGCGTCCGATTACTCGCCACGACATACCTGACCAGAAGCGCTTCGAAATGCTGGGAGCCTCAGCTGCAAACGCAAGCACGCTTAATCATCAATGCGTGAAGGCCATAATGCCGCCAGAAAGTGATCGTAAGCACACTAGGCAGAGTGAGAGCTGGGAAATGCTTACGACTCTGCAGAAGGATGCGTGCCACTTTGTCCCACATCCACACTGCACCGAAGTATAGATCCACCGAAGACTTGACCATCAAAAGCTCTGGAGGGTTAAGAAAAACTGGTGCAGATGTGTGAACAATAGCCTTCAGACAGCTTTGATTCTCAAGATATTCTTCCTTTTTGATGTTATCAAGGAGGTCAACAATCTGCTTCCTGTTAGCGTCGAAGTCTGAGGCTCAGAATAAGCCGCAGATTAGGCATATTAGACAATAAAACAGTACCATAGCTGAACGCTGTGGCTGTTTTACTGGATATCTTTTTGATGCTCACCTCTCTGGAATTCGTGGACCACGTCTTCGCACTCTGAAGACAAAGCGTAATGAGAGCCATGCACATGGCCTGTATCCTTACCCACCTTTAGTCTGCTCATCATGAAGTGATTCTTATGTTATCCAGTCAACATATACGCATATAGGGCAGCGGTGGCATCAGCTCGTTGGGTGCTATACTTACTTCCAATTCTTCCTTGCAGCTGGGGAGTATCAACGTCCTCTGCATTGTTAGTGGGAGAGCCCGCTGGCCCGTCAGATTCCTGTGCATCATTTGACGGATCATCCTCGCTGGACTGAATACTCAATAACGAGATTCCCCCCAAACTCTGCTGGGGGAGTTCCGGCCTTCCATGTATTATTGGGATGGACTGGTCCGTTATCCAGTTACTGCGGCCCAGACCATAGTTCGCAGTGAGCACCAAAAACAGACACAGACAAACATGAAAGCGGCGGCAGCCCCACAAAAAAGTGCTTGGAGGAGTTGGTGGCATTCTCTGGCTTCACAGCGGCAACGCCGACACTTGTTCCGGAATCGGCTACTGCCTGGGAGGAGGTAGGTTAGTTCACCGACGAAGGATTGTGCAGTAGCCCTCTCCCCCATACGTTTTTTGTACATTATTAATGAGATCTGCATGAATTGCCACATATTTTCGTGTTTCAAGAATCCAAGTAGAAATGCGTGTGCTGCTTTCCCCCCTAGGTGGTTGTTTCCTGTTGCTTGTAACCTTTGGTTCCGGGGGTGGACCAAGGACTCGGCCTCGCGTTTTGTAGACGAGCAATCTACTCGTCAAATGCCCGACATTTCTAAAGTTAAAATAGTGAAGTTATTTAGTATTGTCTTTTTCATTGTGGGTTACTACTACACTTTTTAGTTGTCTGTTGCTCGTGCTGTGACTGCAGCAACCCAACGTAGCCACCACGCTTGTAGTGCACAGGCACTGCAATGCGTCTCAGGTGTGCACTCCAGTGGCCTAAGGCCAAGGGTAGGCATAAATACTAGAATACATTTTAGCAATTAGGACCTTATTAGTCAAGAAAGGAATTAGTACTACTAAGTATTCCAGCGATTAGGCCATCGTTGGGCAGGCATAGCTTACTGAGCAATGACTGGTCCTCCAATACTTAATAATTTTACATGAACTTGGCTTGCTCAGAAGAAGAAGTGCGTTGGATTTGACGCTGCATGCTTCGCAAACAGCTAAGGAGGGCAAGCAGCCGAAGAACTTCACTGTGTGCATTGTAGGAGCTTAAGCTGTTCGTTATCCGGTCAGTGCTTTGGTTTACATCGCCGACTACCCTCGACTGGGAGGGGCCGTCATATAATTGCTGGTGGTTTCTAATACAAGCCACGCTGTTACGGGAATACCCCGGAAGAGCAGAGCGTCAGCAACATCGTGGTAAGAAGTAACAGCTGGAGCGAACTGAGACCTTTAAACACTGTTGAAATACAAGCCACGCTGTTACGGGAATTGCCCGGAAGAGCAGAGCGTCAGCAACATCGTGGTAAGAAGTAACAGCTGGAGCGAACTGAGACCTTTAAACACTGTTGAAAGAACAAGTGGAGGCCAGAGAAGGAGTAAATATTCTACTAAATAGCCAGGCAAACGGCAACCGGAATTGACGTTTCACGATCGTACCTAGGAAGCTATTCCTCGTGGATATCTGCAGGCAGAGTTTGACCTGTCCGCAACCACTGCAGGCCGAGACGTTAACAACGCAGCTTAAAATGGGCATGCCTTTTACTAACCCAGCAACCGCTGCCGTGTAAAAACTCGGGAAGCCCAGAAATTTCGAATAATACATGTAAAGATGTACGAAATACAGCTTTTGTTGCGATCTAGCTTCCTTACTCTGCCTACAGGGAGGGGTTGTCAACCCTGCGTACATCAGAGTATCTTGCCTGGACAGTCTGTGGCGCCGACCAGCGTCATAGATATGCACGGTTCACTCCAAATGATCATCATTATATTCTCCGTTAGGTTTGTTGGCCAACAACGTCGGGAAGGCAAACCCTGAAAGCAAATTCAACAGTATCAAGGACCGCTGCGGAGTTGGACACTCTTTGCATATCCCAATGCGGTCTTTTGCGGAGGTGCAGCAACACCAGATTTGCACCAGCCTCGACAAGGCACTCGTTGGATAGTTGCGGGAGACAGTGATGCAGGTAAACGAAGCAATCGGAGAAGCAGAAGCATCTAAATGCCGATTTGTTTTGAGCGGAAACTGCACGAACACACGAAGGCTAGCGCTGCTTGCTCCACGGGGGTGGAGGGCGAATGCAGGACACTCCGAGAGATGTTGACAAATATTCAACGAGAGTCGGCTCTTTCCACCTCGTAAATGTATTGAATAAATAAGTTAAATAATAAATGAGTAGATTGGAAAGAAATTGTTTGTTATGGTTGTGTCTGCAGAAGACGGGTTGAGTATACAGACGCAAACGCGCCGATGCGGCGGAACGTCATTTTAATCGCTAGAGTGGCATGTGAATGCTGTTATTTAGCCACCGGCGAAGAAGGCATCTTCCTCTCCTCCCACTGTCATCATCGTGTTCAGCTTCACTACACAGCAATGGCTGGTCCTCCAATACTTAATAATTTTACATGAGCTTGGCTTGCTCAGAAGAAGAAGTGCGTTGGATTTGACGCTGCATGCTTCGCAAACAGCTAAG